GTWTTAAAAAAAAAAAAAAGGAAAAGGCCAAAATCAAGACATGGCAATTGCCTTGTCTTGCCTCATGCTAGCTATACGCCCTGCTGGCATCTATTTCTCTGGACAGTGATACTGCTAAATCATTCAATGACATTAAGATCATAAGAATAAAGGAAATGGTTGCCAACCTAAGAAGCTTTGATTGTTTCACAAATTCTCCTTGTGGTACTAAAAGAAATGTACAGAAAAGAGTGTGGAGAATGTGGATATTGATCGATGTAAGAGTGTAAAGGTTCAATACTTTCTATTCAATGATGTGACAAGTTCTCTTGTTAACAAGCATTGTTGTTTACTTGTCCTGATCTCTTAGTTCTCTAACAGTGTTTTACTTGAATTGTTTTTAGTTTGTATGTTGTATAATAACATGATTTTGGGCTCAAATGATTTCAAACTAGTTCAGTCTTCATCTTCCTTCATTTGAAGACTTTGTCAATGTCACTAAGAGAAAGAAATGTGTATCAGTTTGTCTTGAGATTGACCAATGAAAGTCACCCCAACTTACATTGTATACACTGTATTTTGCTTGTGGTACATCTCTCCAGTCCGTGGAATATTTTATGTACAACTTCAACTGATGAATGATTTTCATTTCAGGGACTCTATTGAACCTCTTTTTGAAGCACAAGAATTTTTATTTTCAACTCATTCTGTCTTTCTGGACTCATCTAACACCCCCTTACCACTAGCCTTTGACACCTTTCCGCTGGGTGGAAATACTCTTCATGTTAGAGGTAGGGATGTGTACTGGCTTTTTTGGGACTTCTGCTCTAATTTGCTAAATGGGGGAAGTGTTGTTTGGATTAATACACAGGGTATCATAGGAAAAGGAAAAAAAATTGTTTTTTCGACAATCAGGAGTAGTGAAATTTTAAAGTTGTAGCCCTTTCACTCCCAGGAATGGCCAATAAATAATTTTTCCTTATAATATCAGGGAAAATTGATGAGAGGAGATAAGATTATTAATATTTAATTGATTTATCACCCTTGTCTCAGCAAAATTAGTGATGAGTGTATGATTGGTAAAATGAGGAGAATGTGCTACCTTTCTATAACATCAAGAAATGGTTAGATATTCTAGTCTTCTTGGATAGGGACGAATAAATGGAGGTCCTGTCTCCTGCAGGGTTAGGGGCAGGAGACGTTAATTTCCTATGCACAAGATTACTGTGTGATGGATCTCCTCCCCTGGGGTGGGGTGGGGTGGGTTTACTGGGCCTGCAGTAATTGGCACAAGCTGTTGCAGTGTCCCTGCCCATTGGCGAATCTAATAAACTAGAAGGGACATTGGATAATGAGCTTTTGGGAGTGTAAAGGGGGGGGGGGGATGTGGTAAATTTTAGTTAACAAAAAAACTGGTACTTCCATGGGCAAAATTCTTTATTCTACCAATATTTGAAATGGTGTAAAATTGGAATTGTCAGAGAGGTTGTCTCAGTTTTCTTCTGATAGGACAAAATGTTTTGTTTTGATGCACAGATAAAGAACATGGTTAGACAAACATATGGATGTAAACCTCATCAAGAAACCATTTTTACCTTTTGTTTATGCATAAATTAGGATGAAAAAAATCATTAAAAAAAAACATAAAGTATGATCTCCCTGGCGTGCGCAGCGGTCCTTCATGCATCCCAAGCATGTGCCGACTAGCAAACAACACTGCGTGAATATTTTATTGATCAAGCCTGCCTAGTATTACTCGATCTTAGCGATATTTTATCTTTTTATAGTTTCTGAACATAGTATATCATTGTGAAATATTATGCAATTCAGCCCCTTGGCTGTGATGCAATATTTTGTTTTTAAACTATTAAATAACTCCCCTTAATTCCACCCCTTGTCCATTGTTTTAGTTAACAGTAGTGATGTTATCTAATGGATTCACATATTTGTTTTCAGCTAATGAGGATTTTGAAGGGGATGAAAGAGTAATCAATATCATGAGGGACTCCTATGCAGAGGACAAGAGCAACTCAGATGAGACACCCACGCGGCCTAAAAGTTCATCCTTCCTGACACGTTCTGGTTCTTTTACAACAAAAGGGAAAGACAAGAGCGTCATTAGAAGGTTCGATGATGACAGAGAGAAGGAGAACTCAAAAGATGACAAGTTACTACAACAATTGAATAAGAGTGTGAGTTGTATGATAATTTCTTTTCAATTAACTCTTCCACTTTCAGGTGAAAGTTACCAAAGAGATTTAATGATTATTTAATAACTTTAATTATACAAGGTAAAAAATTCCCTCAGCGTAACCTACAGGTATGCAAAAAACATGTACAGAGTAATTCTGCTCAGCAAAACTGCTGTAATGACTAAAAACAAGATAACACTTGTTAATAAAATAATGTCTTAAGGCTGCTTTTCAAGGACGTAATGTCTCACTACAAGCTGTGATGACAGTTTGTGTTTGAATTCATATAAGGATGCTGTAGAATGCCGATCTCAGGACAGACTATCTCACACCTTAGTACCTTTGTAAAAAATACTTCTTTTTAAACAATAGGCCATTTTACAGTGGTGTACTCAGTTGCCAGGCCTTTGATTTGGAGTGAGGCTTAGAAGGTGACCTTGTTGTGATAGTGACCAGTATCTAGTTTGCATAATAACAAAATAATTTTCATTTGAAAAGCAGCAACATTTGTATCATAAATAGGTCACCTCTAGTCTCACTCGATCTTGTTCAAAGGCTTGGTAACCAAGCGCACAACTGTAAAACGGTCATTGGTTTGGATGAGGAAGGGCAAATTTGTTTCCAGAATTCCTCAATCAGTAGGAGGTCATCTCAAAATAAGGAATTTCTCCATACTAGTTGGGGCAGGTTCCAATTCAACTTTTTGTAATTTTGTGGTATATGTTTGTTTGTTTTATTGTAGACCCAAAAGGGCAAAAAGAACATGGAATCTTTGTTTGGTAAAGAGTTTGGAGGGACCTTGCCTACTACACTGTCAAGTCCTGTTCTTCCTGGTGGAGGTGGCACTGTGCCAAGACCAAAGTCAGCTAGTAGTCGCTTGACTGAAATGTTTAAGCCACCGAGACCCAGCATTAAGGTATGTCATTTTGACAACAGTCTCTCTATCGATCCCCACCACTCCATTTTAAAGAACTGATATTTGGGTGTGGGGGGGGGAGGGAGAGGGGAATGATACTTACAGTAAATTTGTATTCCAGCTTAGTGGCCCATCCAGCCAGAGCTTATCCCAGTTTCATCAATATGAAACAACAAGGAGTATCACTCCTCCCCCCTTGGATTGGATTCTAGTCCATCACAATGTTCCCCCCCCCTCCGGCACTTCATCAGCCTTCCCTGACAATTGGCCTCTACCCACTAATACTCCTGGGTTGAGAGATGTGGTGGAAAAGGAAAGTGTCTCACCCAAGAACATATCACATTGACAAGATCAGGTCTCAAACACAGACTTTTCGACCAGGGGTCCAACACGCTAACCATAATGCTGTGGTGTCTCCCACAGATACTCAGTGCTTGAAAGAGATAATGGACAGAGCTTGTCCTTGGTGGCTTTAGGTCATTTGATCTTTGTTTTTATGAAACTTAATAATGTAAATTTGCTTTTAAAAAAGCAAGCGTTTAAGAATTACACACCTCTAAATTTGCAGATTTCTGTGAGGTTATATGCAATACATTATTTTTTAAGGGAACTCTGAAAGACTCCTTGGATCGATATTCCTTGTATGGTTTGGAGGATAGTTCTGATTATGACTCTGGGCTAAAGAATGAAATCGAAGAACAGATTAAACTTGTAAGTACAAATGGTGCTCTGGATTAATTGCAGGAACAATTAAATGGAGGAAAACTTTAAAAGTAAACATGCTTAGTAAAGTTATCTTTGCTGAATTATCTAAGGCTTGTAATACTCTTTCAAGTAGACAACTGAGAAAAGTCAACAAAATCATATGATGTTGTGTTCATTAATCTTTAAATTGACACAAGCAGTCAACAATTGAATGTACAGTTGTCGCTTAGATGAGTTAGCTTCTAGATCATGGAAGTGGAAGAGGTAAAATACTTGAAGTGTGCTTCTTTGCCAACTTTGATAATCAATTGTTTTCCATGTACAGGTTACAAAAGTGAGATTTATTTTTTCAGGAATCATCATGGACTGAAGTTGTAGATGAAAGCCACATCGGGGTAATGTCTGTTGTTCCTTGTCATGAAACAATTTGCATGCTTTGTCTTGTCTTCTTTATACAGTTCTGTAGGTAGTTGATTTTCAAGTTTTTATTTTCATGCATCTATTTCAGGCTATGACAAAGAAAGAGAATGACCAACAAGAAGCTATTTGGGAACTTTTGTCCACAGAGGCAGTGTATATATCAAAACTCTATGTAATCAAAAAGGTAAAAAATACTGAATTGTATTAAGACAAGATTTTGCAGTGACCAATTGCAGTGTCCTACACAGAAAGTATATAACCAAGTTTTATATCCACTGAAGAGGAGGTGATTTTTCTGTTAACTTCCTAAATGTGAAGTATATGATTGTATTCTTTGTGTGATTCATTTTGTTCTTGTCTTAGCTGTTTCTCCAGTGCCTACGGAATTTACAGAGTGAAGGATTCCTATTGGAGGTATATGACTTCTCTTCTTGCTAAAAGTATGTGTGCAAGGATTTGCACAAATTTTGTAGTGAATGGTTATAATGCATTACCCCTTAAACTCTTGTGAAACAGGTTTTTTTTTTGGCCTCTGCTATATTTAAGTGATCTACAATGAAAAAAAATAAAATATGAAACTCAATGTACCGGTACTTCCTTTCTCTGGTCAAAAGACTTCATCACAGAAGGTTTTTTTGTATGGTCTTGCAATACTATTTATTGGAGTTTCCTTGTACTTTTCCCATCCAAAAATTCCTTTTTCTTACATTCTCTGAGCCTCTTAGTTCTAGCCCTTTAACCATGTTCTCCAACTTTGTAATCTTTTTGTTGGTATCCTTCTTCTAATCATGATGTCTTATTTTCCATTTGCCACAGATTGATGCTTCTAAGTTGTTCAATAATGTGGAACAAATATATGAGGTCAATTTAGCATTTTGGACAGAACACCTGAGCACAGTTGTTGAATATGTAAGTGTATTTTTACTTGCTTCTTGGTTGTATCTCTTTTGTTAAAGATGAAATTTTTATTTGCATTTTAGTGATAACAGCAAGGTAAAAAAAAAAAAAAAATGTATAATTCTTCCATTTTCTTGAACAGGCTAGGAAAACAAAGGATCTGCTAAATCCTCTGGATATGGAAGCTGGGTTCAATATGGTGAGAGAAAAAAAATGCTTTGGAAACATATAACCTCAATGAATATCTTTTTGTGAGCTACTGAGGTTTGCAAGGGTGTTGCTTAGTGAGGGTAGCAAAGGAGAGCAGGGGTGGGGTGGGGTGGGGGGTGGGTCCCAGCTAATCCCATTTCATGCAGGAATTTTAAAAAAATCATGCAACAGGTATACTTTAAATAACTTTTGACATGTTACAAATTCAAAAGGAAAAAGTTCAAATCATGGAGCAAATGAAAAAAAATTCATGGGTAATTACGTTTCAGGAGACAAATCAAGCCCCATGCTGGTTCACAAATTCACAAATCAGGCTTGCCTTTCTTTAAAATTAATGCATCAGATATTAATTCTGACCTTAATCATTTTTCCTGTATAAACCCTTTGCTACCCTCTCAAGAGCTTTTGCTCAGGTGGTGCTTCTTTGCAGTTTTTCTCCCCTTTTTTACTGGTTTAATTGTTGTGAATAAGAAAGCCTTAATCTTGACTTCGATCATTGCTTAGGTTTCTCTACTCTTTTTTGATGTATGTGTTCCTTTTCTTTGCTATTTTTGTGTAGTTTGAGGCCCAGTTTGATCCATACATAAAGTACTGCATGGAGGAGTCTAAATGTTTGAAATACTACAAGGAAAAGCTTGTTGAGAATGAAGATTTCAAGACTTACATCACTGTAAGAGGACTAAAATACATTTAGTACCAACTGTTACTCGATATAGTGTTTTTTCTTTTAGAACATCATTAAAGGAAACAGCCTATAGTTAGTACATTAAAAATCCCAATTCAACAGAATGGCCTTACTTTGTCAATGGATTGGAAGAGAAGAATTGCATTAAATTGTTGTTGTTTCTTCTTTCATGAGTAGTGGTGTGAAGATCACAGGTTTTGCACTGACCGACTTAAGTTAACTGACTTGCTGGTTTGGCCCATGCAAAGAGTTACAAAGTATCATCTTCTATTAAAAGCCATTGGTAACAAAACCACTGAGGAAGATGTAAAAGAAGTTCTCAACAGAATGGTAAGATTTCTGTAAAACTAGGATAGTTAACAATTATTCCATGAGTGTGCGTTGGATATGAGATGATAGATAGCCAATGAGGTGGGTATAGTGCCGAGTTGGCTATAATCATCTCATATCCAACAAGCGCGAGTGGAATAATTGTTTTATTAAAAACGTTAAATTAAGTTATTAAATTTTATTAAATTTTTAGCTCCCTTTTAATTTTAAGCTGACACGTACGCTTGCCATATTTGTAGATTATGGTATATTGGCTGATATACCATAATGGCTAAGCCAATAATAAAGTCTTGAATTGCATTATCCAATGATCTAGTTTTTAATAATGTTAATTATGTCATGCATTGTTTTTTGTTAACCTGAGAGCGAGGGGCAGAAGCCCTTCAGGTCATAGCTTGCAAGCAGGCTCACATTATTAGCATAGTGCACATGTGACACAATCTTTTCTTTGCTCACAAGAAAGTCAAAGTCCTTGTTTAAAGTTAGCCATCAAGAAGTCTATCATGTGACCTGGCTCCAATAATAGGGCATAGAAAGGCACCTCCTGCAGCACTGATAAGGAGGGCTTGCTCACAGGTTATTTAAGTCAGTTCTGTCAGATAGCTTGTGGACTCTTTTGGGTGTGACTACAATTGGTATCTTGTTTTCTTGTCTTCTTCTTTTACCTTTCTGCTAATTTGTGTCATGCCATTGTGTTGCAGCGCATGAAAGTAGAAACGTTTGTGAGTAAAGTTAATGCTGCCATGAAGGAGAGGCATGAGTTGGAGAAACTCAAAACAACTGCGCAGAAGATTCACAACAACTACAGTGTTGTAGAAGCTGTTAATGAGGAGATGGAAAAGGTACTGGAATAGAAATCTTATTTCTCCTTACTTTATTTGGACAATTCTGAGAAGACAGATACTCTGTTAACCTCTAAGAGTGACCAGCATCAAATATTTTCTTCCCGCAGTAGTACTACTGAATAAAATATTAAAGTCATGAGAATAATTATGTAAGAGACATGATCACCGACTAAAAAAGGCTATCACAAATTGACTCTGATATTTTCTGTCTCTCTGATATAGATTCTCCAAGATTACAGCTCATACGACCTTACCAGACCCATGCCTGGTTTAACTGATGATCAACATCGCAGTGTCATTCATGAGGGACATCTGAGGCTTCTTGAAAAACAAGGAAAAGTGAGTGAAGGCTGATACTACACTAATAGCAAACTACCTACTATTAGAGTTTCAATTGAATAATGATGTCAGCGTAAGATTCAGTGTCTCCGTGCAGTGTCAATACATTTGGGAGCAGAAAGGTGATGAGAATTAAGAGAAAAATTTTACCACTGACAGCAGTAATGTCACAATCTGATTGGCCAATTTGCTGTAAACGATAAGAGTACAGACAACACTGCCGGCATCCATGTGTCATGCAATGTGTCATGCTCATTAAAGAATTGTTTCATTCAAGGTCTGTCTTGATAAAAAAAATCAACAGTGGTTTAGCATGGTCTGAAATCTCATTGACAAGGATATTCATCATAACAGTGGTCAAAATGTTGTGGACTCATAAGGGGCAGTTGAGTTAGTCTGCAACAAAATTTCTCAGAGCTTAATTTAGTAGAATCAAAAGAGATATATGAAGTAGATTGCACAAAGAATTTGATTTAGGTGCGGGAATGAGAGGGTCAAATCTGTTGAATTGACACAAGCATCAATATTTTTTTCCTTTACAGATGGATGTATATGTTTTTCTCTTTACTGATTTACTTCTCATAACCAAAGCAAAGAAAGGTGATAAATTCAAAGTGATCAAACCGGTGAGTTTGCAAAAAGTGCTATTGGCTCTTATGGAATCAAATTCAAGTTATTAAACTTGCACACATCCCTAACTATACATAGTGTTCTACATGATCAACTTTCAGGGAGTTGCATAACAGATTCTGATGAAGTAATATTATTAATGTATTATTAATGAATTTAATGATTATTATTATTTAATTATTATTGATCATTTTTTAATTGATGTTCTGGTCTTATTTTTAGCCTCTCCAAGTGGATAAGTTGGTCACCCACAGGGATCAAGGAGGTATAGTTCTTTATTGTCCTTGTGTTTCCTTAAAATAAATTATGTTCTCCATGTCTTGCCAGACAAAATTTTGCTATTACCTGAGTTGAATTGCACAGTACATCTCTTGTGTGTTTTTTTCTGGATGTATACTCATTGTGCATGTATTGTGAAATACCGCCACCCATACCTCCCACCCACCCCCCTCCCACTTGTCAATGCCTCCTTAGAAAGGATGTACATGTAAGTTTGTAAGTTAAAATGAAATGATGCACTGTAAATGCTTTATTACCTTAGGAGCCTTCTTACTTATTTATGTGAATGAGTACAACATAGCTGTTCAAGCCTTTGCCCTCCAAGGGAGTTCAAGTGATCAGACGCAGTGGATGGATGCAATAAAGAAGGCCCAGGTATAATTGCATCTTCAGAACCTAGAATGTTGGTCTCTGCCTAGAACACCAGGAATAGTTACTATAATAATATTCTCAGCAAACCGCTCTGTTAGTAGTTTCATGCCTTAAAGCATAAGCATGCAATGAGAGAACTTATTTTTTTTTAGTAAGAGGAAAGGAAAGTATTTAAGCTAGAAACTAATTTTATATTCCCTATTGAAGGTAAATGATGGTATCACTATTTCTGAGAAATTTATGGCATAAAGTTAATGGTGCAACTTCAATAGTGCAACATTAATTTTGTTTTTTTCCCCCTGTGTTAGAAATTGTTCATGGTTGCCAAATTGGGGCAGGGATCAAGTAATTTACACCATATGCAAAATCCCAGCGACAGTGACCTTGTAAGTCCCTCAGGCCTTGTTACACCCTCTGGACTCTCGCCAGCACTTCCTCGGTCTTCACGCCGCAGATCATCTGGCTCATCAATCATGTCAGTGGAGTCTGATTCAGATGACGAGTTAGGAATGAACTTTTCAACCTTAAATTCTCGTGCACGTTCTGACTCTGCTTTGACCACAGCAAGTAGCACCCATTCCTCAGAAGCAAGAGGTAAAGAGGTAGCAACTAATCATAAAGATGGTGCAGCTTTACAACGACAGGAAGAAATTCTTTCAGTTGAAGATGAACAATTGCTAGAGGGAGCAATGGCAATGTCGCGGTCTGAATCGCTTGGAAAGATCTCACGGTCTTCCTCTGCGCCTCCCAAGGAAAGACCACGTGTTGTGGATTCCAGTTCCTTATCAAGATCTTCATCAGCCCCACAAGGGCCCACATCTGTGCGTGTAGCGAGTTTAAGGGAAGGCATTATCATGAAGAGGAGGGCCACAGAGGAGCAAGATGGATCTGTCACATCATCGTCTGCATCATTAAATGACTCGGCAGGTGATTCAGAGGCTCAGTCACCATTTGCAACTGCAGCTGCAGATTTTCTATTAGGTCCTCCAAAAAATTATCAACAAACTAATGAAGTCAGATCAGAGCCTCAGTCTCCAATTCAGGAAGACTCTGGTGGAGAATCACCCCGCTCTCCTACTGAGGAGAATAATACCCAATCCCCTTCGTCTCCTGAAAAAGGAGTTTCATCTTCTGTGTCTGATAATGACTGTGAAAGCAGTGAATATGTAGGAGAACAAGAGGAGGATTCTGTTGAGGAACCTCTTGAGTCTGAAGGTGATTTATCACCAAATAAAGACTGTATCGTGGATCTTTCATTTCCACAGGTGGGTCAAATGGAGGCTCAAGCCTTGCAAAACTTATCAGACTCTTTGGAGGCAACTTATAAAAGTAATGGACCCTCCAAACAACCACCGCAGATAAAATCTCAACTTATTGCTCAAGATAAGATCCAATCTGCTATTACGATGACAGAACAACCGCGGAAGCGTATATCACTACCAAGGAGATCATCACCTGTGATTTCAAGAAAGACGAGACCTGAGAACTTAGCAAAACATCGTGATAGAGATGATTATGATGTAAATGGGATCTTACAGAAAATTCGAGATGCTTCTTCTCCACCAGCCGCAGAAGCTACAATGTCACATCAAGAACGTGGGTACAAAGTTGGGAAACTTACTAAAAGGTCCTCTGAGTCTTCCAGACTTCCTGTTAAACCTGATAAGGCACACTATCCCACTAGTGTAGACCTAGAGGAATCACAGTCGAAGGCTCACAGAAAGAAGGAAAATTGTATTTCATTATCGCGAACTAGAAAAAAGAGCATGTCTCTTTCAGATCTTCTCAGTATAGGCAAAGACTTAACAAGTAATCGAGATAAAAGTAAAGATAAAGAGGTGAACAAAGATAAATCGCACCCTAAAAATTTGGAACCAACAAGTCCCCTGACTGATGAGGATGCCATTTCACCTACTGCTGTTGGTGAACACCCAAAAGATGAGAAGAGATCTCGCTTTAGTCGACTCCGTAGGAAGTCTAGTCGAGGCATAGGAGAACTGAAGGATGGTATTGCATCTGGTCCTGATATTGATCCTAAAAGAGCCTCAAGGCATTTCTTTAAGGAGTCTCTCATGTTGGAATCCTCGTAAGTAGTTTTTTTTTTGTGGAAAGTCAATGCTTTGATTATTTTGAGAACTGGCCAGCACCAAATGATTCAATGTGAAAGTCCTGATTAACTACTTCCATGTGATAGTTTTTGTGAGCCCGTGCTTTGAATTGCCTTTTTCCCTGGCTTTGCAATTTATGGAAGGCATGCAAAATGAAAGGTTAAAGTGCAGTAAGATCAAATATTCTGAAAGATTTTTTTTAAGTGACAATCAAAGACTTTTTTTGGTGGTGGCCAGGCACATCAAACTGTAAGCACCATTCTATATCAGCACCCATGCCACATGGCACAGCTCAGTCATTTTAATCTCTGATCATTTTAATAAAGCCAATGATAGCAACTAACCACCAGCAATTAATGTCGTGAAGGTTAATGTCACATCATAACATCCTTGGATTTTAATTAAAATCCATTTTCAGCCTTCAATCTGTAAGTGACTTCACCCTTGTAACGAGTAAATCTGTATCAGTCAAGGGATTGGTGTCAATTTTAAGGTCACTTTTGAGTCACTGTTTACATTTGCTACACTCGCTTGAATCAACAGACAAAAGGAAGTCAAAAGTTGACTCAATTGATTCTAGGAAATCTTACACAGCCTAAGAAAGCAGGCAAGGCACAGAGTGTACATATTCACCCTTTGGTCTGTATGTTTGAAGAGGACTGTTAAGAATGAGTGGACAGTGACTCCTAGGCCAATTGACCTCTTTCTGGAGCTAATGTTTTGCACCTGTCCTTCCTTGACATAAATGTTCTGATAAAATCGATAAATAACTAATCCTTGCCTGATTGTGTAGTGTTGCTATTAGTATAAATTTTCCTTGGTAAGATATTTCTGAATCTCTAAATTAATTCATTTTACATAACTTGAATAAATCTTAATGAAGGGTGGATGTTAGCTAAATGTGTATTTATTTTTACAATTTATTCTGGCACAATTTTAAATTTAAGATAACATTATTACCAAATAATATAAGACAAAATTAATGCTTTATTATTCTCTATTATTGTTTTTAGTTTAATTCTGTTGAGAAGTATATTTTACAATCCATGACAAAACCTGTATTGGTTGCATTTTGTCATCAATATATGCATCCTGCTCTGCCAATTTTCTTCCATTCATTACTTTTTTTAAAATATAATATAACGTATGTACCTAATGAATTAACCCAATTTCTCTATGAACTTTCCTTTTTTTTTTTCTTCTGTAAGTAAAGATAACTAGCAAAGCAGATTTCAGTTACAGTAGTCAAATTCTATGCATTGTAAAGGTTAAAATAGGTATAATGCAAGGGGACAATCTATCAATTTTAATCAAATCAAAACTTACACAAGACATTTGCGTTCTGCTAATTTTTCAATTTATGAAGCATAGCTTTAAAATTGATGTTCTTAATTTTAAAGTTTTGAATAAAATTAATTTGTATTTAATACTAAATATTTTATATTTAACAGTATTAATAAATAAAAATTAATTGTCAGTCTGTTTTTACTCTGTTGTTAAATGTTTCATTTGTGATGTTTTTTAAATTAATTTTAACTAAATTTTTTTCTTTTTGATTTTGATTTTTCAACTTGGATGGTGATCACTATAATACTAACAAGCCTGAATTATAACCCAGCCATGAGATGGTAAAGTTTAAATGCTTTATGAAAGCTTCTAAATTGTCATCTTGAAATTATAAACAAGTTGTTGCTCTTGGAATTAAAGTCAGGATTACCAACTCGATCATTGAATTGTAGGAAGTTTTTATAGCCATCAAATGCAAAGATCTTCAGTATCAAACAAATTCTACCTCTAAAGAAGTGAATAAAATTGAAACTGCAAAAATAATTTCATATTATTGCATCCCAGTTCTAAATTAGCATTGAAGATCAAATAGAAAAAACTAGTTCCACCTAAAATGATCAGGATGCAGAATTTACCACAAATGTTAAATCTGCCCTCTGCATTTTACTAAGCAGTTCAAGTTGTACACAACTTTTGCGCAAGTTTCCTTGACTTTGCTGCAGTACTTCACCACTGTGGTACAGTAAAAACCTCCATACAAGAACACCGGTTTTCGGGGTTCAGGCTGATTGGGTTCTTATATATCGGGTATTTTAGGTGAAATCAGCCTGAAAGTGTTCTCAAGTGTTCTTAATTTTTTACTTCTAAAAAAAATGTAAGGGATTTACTATGATGAAATACATAACTTATAATTGTAATTATAAGACTTTGAATTCCAAATACAGTTGTTGTACATTTGCTATACACAGCAAGTGAAACTACTGGTATTTATACAGAGATCTTACTGCAATGCCACAGTAAAGCTACAGACACTGTTCGTTCTACTAAACTGAAAAGGGAAGAGTTTTATATATAAGTACAATTTTCAGGCTGAATGTGTTCTGATATATAATATGCTCCTTTTTTACCAAATTTCAGCCTGGGTGTTCTTAATCCACACTTTCTTGTATGCAGGTTTTTATTGTATTTCACTGCAGTGAAAGCCAGTGTCACATTCCCTCTTTCTTTGTGACCAAAGTCTTTATTTTCCTGTGTGGCACAAGCACTATGATCACTCCCTTCACAGAGTGCACTCCTTGCACCTCGTACTTTGACATACTGTTTTGGACAGTCTTAAAGGCCATGTTGTGTTTTAGGTAGAAGTTGTAGTCCTGAAATGCATCAAGGCTTGCGGTCGGCAGGTATTTGAGTGTGTGATTACAAGCAGCATGCTCAATGCTTGTATTTTTTTTACCTTTGTGTGTAAAAAACTGAAGTATCAATGTCTGCCTTCATAAAATGCACTGCAACTATGCTGTGATGCTAGGGTTCCTAGGTTGAATAATCATTTTAAAAGAATTGCAATTTCCTATAAGGTCTACCACCCTAAGGTCATGTTAATGATGCATTTAAGGAATGAGAGTGATGATGATGATGATGATGATTCTGAATTGATATGTTTACCTAAATTGAGCAGGTGAAGTGACGCTTTGAAATTCAAACTCTATGTCTGTTTAGTCTTCAAAACTTTCTATATTTTATGTACTGCTTAAAGTTTTTAACCACTGACAATTGTAATGTTCTTTTCCTTGTTTGTAACCTTTGGCTTAAAAGCATTTAGATAGAGTAGTGATTTCACTTACACCAAACCCAAAGAATTTCATAAACAAAGTCATTCCATCGTTCATAGAAGATTACTACACAACTTGTATTAGCCAGCTCATTACAATGTATCTCTAACAATGCTGTTTCTGAAATTTTTTTTTCATTTTTATTCCATTTACCCCACTGCTGATCCAGGTGAAGGAATGCATTGAAAATTTAATTTCCAAATGCATACTTAACTTTCCCAGATGAAGGAGCTAGGAGCCAGAACATTCTTCAAATAATAATACTCTGAAGTGTCTTGTCTTGCACTCGCTCCATACAGAGTATGCAATCTCTTTGCCAAACATGTTAAACTTTTCCTTTATATGTTAAACTTTTCCTTTATAGAGACTTATTGACACAAACAAAAGGAACAAACAAGCGTGCTTGTTCATTCCTGTTGTTTTTGTTGTGTAAGCTTTGATGTAAGAAAATATTTTAACCTTGAAAGCCCATAGAGTGATCAACATCAAATTTCTCTGTGCAATGCCAGTATGCAAGCACAAGGATATGTCACAAGAATCAAAGAACTGATAACCAATGACTAAATTCACACAATTGTGTTTAGAAGAGAATGTGTCTAGACCATTTGGGGAAAATTTATATGTTGACTCTAAGGCTCTGAGGGTTGATACATTAAAAGAGCCTAAATTAGGCTTTTTGCATGACAGGGACAGAAAAGGAAAGAGAAGATGGAGTTCTTGCATTAATTTTTTTTTGAAAAGTGATAAGTGTTTTGGTTGAGACAGTAGAGTGCTTGTTACCCTACACCAAGGAAAAATTTTAAAGGCATTTGGTGCTTTTCACACTATTGTTCTACCTGATGCTCCAGTGATCTTCTCTCTTATGTGTGTGTCTGTCATGCATGTTGCATTTATTGTTTTATCTTGGTCAAATCAACTAATTTTGTTTTATCCTTTTCCTTAATTTTTAGGGAGTATGTGTAAAGATTGCTGTGAAGAAAAATGCAAATAACTAATTTAAATTAAAAAAATGCATTACCAAGGACAATATTCCATGAGGATGAACATGCATTAATACTTTTACATGAAAAGTTTTTTATTTATAAGTTGTTTTTGTCATGCTCATTTGTGAATTTTAACAAGAAAATTAGCTCTAAAGTAAGAAACTTTCTTGGGTGCTCAAAGATCAGTGCTGTATGTGATCTGAACTTAATTCCATGTTTCTTGGTCAGAGAAGTTTCCTTTGGATGTGAACATTTTGAATTTTTGTCTTCTGACTTGGGTTTGAGGCAAATGCACTGAGTTGGCTCGTTGTAAAGGGCATGACTTAGAAGAGCAAGTGATGCCCAGTGAAGAATAAGGATTTGGTTGATTGGATAATTTGCAAGCTGGAATTCTTTCTATGTTTGGTGAACGTGGCATGTTGTTCCACTTCTCATGGAGTGAATTGTGGGTTTAGTTCCTGGTTGGATTTTTTCCCCTGTCTGGTAATAAAAAAGATCAGGAAAGGTGAATGGTTTGTCTTTTGCGAGGCAGTTGTGGTTGTAAAAACCAGTTAGAACTGTGTTCCTTGCCTGGAGAGAGGGTTGACCAGAATGGTCAACTGATGGGTTTTAAGGGTGCAATACATGTTTGTTTAGGGGCATTGGGGTGCTGTTGTTCAAACCACAAGTTGCAAAGTCTCGAGAAGTTCCATATTCTATCTTTGAGTGTTAAGTGTTAGCAATTTTTAGTACTTAAATGTAAGGTTTCAGTTGGTAAGCTTACCTTTTGAGCACCCTGTTTGATCTCTGATTTTAGTCAAGTTTCTCTCGTTTTATCTTTTAAAAAAATCTAAATAGGCATACTTTTTTCAATCTTGACTTGGCTGTGTGAAGACCATACGCGTTTTATTGAATGTAAACAAAGTTGTACATAGTGGTTGTAAATTTGTAGCTATTTGGTGAAATTTTCACTGAAAACCAGTTTGAAGAAGAAAGGGGATTTTTTTCATTGTATTTATTGAATTTTTTTTTTTAGAATTATAAATGCGAACTGAGTGCACACAATGCATGGGTGTCTGGTGATGTGTCTTAGGATCTTTGCTTCGATGAGGCTCTAGAAATAGTGTCTCTTTAACCCTTTACACCCTGAGATCAGTGTGCATATTCTCCATAGTGTTCTCTATCCATTTCCTGAGCAACCTTGTTCCCAGGGCCTTTTCTCTAAGTTGAGGGTGGGGCGGCCCACCCCCAACTGAGGGAAAAGGCCCAGGGAACGAGTTTGTTTCCTTAGGTGCTGACAAGAAGATTTTTTATGTAACTGTCAAGAGCTTCTTTAGTTGGTGATCATTTCCTTTATGCTTGTGACCTTGATGTTCGAGTCAGGGTCGATAATGTAAGGAGAAGGTAGATGTTAATTAATAACAGTTCACTAAGTGTCGGTGGTTAGTGGCGGATATTATTTACCGAGCCGAGAAGCGGCTCGGTAAATGTCAACCTTGTTCGCAGGGCCTTTTCCTGCCCCACCTCCAACTCCACCCCCAACTAAGGGAAAAGGCCCTGGGAACGAGGTTAGCTAAATGTCCATCGCTAGCCACTAACACTAAAGTAAATAGTTGTTTTAGTATACACTAAAACAGTGCGACAATATGGAGCGAAAAGAGCGAGTGCAAATTACAAATAGCGCGCATGCTGTCAAAAATCTCGTCTAAACTTTCTGTGATTTTTTTTCATCTAAGTTATTAACAAGAAGCAACATGATTTCTTGCGCAGTTTGGTGTAACTAAGAACTTGTAATTTTTACAAAGACTACAAATTACATCCGCCCTTCGGGCTTCTGCAACTTTGTTGTCTGAAAATTTTACTCGTACTTATTAACACTAAATTGCACTCAAAGTCATGTCAATACTCAGTTCTTATTAACCGAGCGGGAGGTCTGTATGGGAGAATCTTGACCGAGGTCGCCAGGACAGACCGAACGCAGTCT